ACTGTATAGTATGGTGTGTTGTGTTGTATGCATGCTAATAACAGTTACAATTCGAGCGGATTTTGTTTTTTTTTAATCTTTTACTTAAATTTTTATGACGTCATCACCTTTATTTTACGTTCGTAAAATCGGGAATTTGTTAAATCGGGGTTCGCAAATGAGGGTTTGTACTGTACTCGTAAATGAGGGTTTGTACTGTACTCACATTTTATAAGCAAGACATCATGCTACGCATTGTAAAGATGCTAAATTAATTGAAAAACCTAATCCTCAATCTAGCCCTAAATGCTAATCCTACTAAATGCAATTGGAAGGTTAGAGTTCATTTGAAATTTGTAGGCACATAAATCAATCATCCTTTAGGCTCTGCTTTCATTCACTCTCTGCTTTCATTCACTCACTCTCTTTAAAACAAAAAAAATTCTCTAAAACCTCTTTATTTGTTTGGAGTTCCAGTTCCAATATCAATGCCTTCAAAAAAAATGTGCAGTACAAAAGTTCAGTTAAAAAGAGACCCGTACATCCATAATTAAAGTACTATATATTAATGAATATTTTATACAACATTACATTATAATAATAATATATTTATTATTATAAATTATTTACATTATAACAGCACAATACTATGCATTTAAAGAGAAATTATGTGTTACAAATGCCAACCTGTACTATTTGAAGCATAATAGTTTGGTTCCAATATAAATGTCCTCAGAAAAAAAACACACCATGTGTAGTACAAGAGTTCAGTTATAAAGAGACCAGTACCTTCATGATTCCAAGTAGTTAATAATTACGTATTACGCATAAATTGTGACCAGCATCCCAAGGACCAATGAGTATCCCATATATCAATGTCTCCTGGGAAAGGAAATAACTGGGAGGGATTATGGCGTATCCTAGGGTGTTTCCTCCGGCTAGATAACGACTATCCCTATCAGGATGTAATACTAAATGCTCATTCGCTCAATTTTTTTTAAAATAATTTTATAACTCTCAACATAGAAATGTATAGTATTCCAATTTGACTTTAATATCTTTAATTATATTTTATAACCAATTCCACAAATTATTTTATCTTTAAATTTGGTTAAATACCATTGCAATCAATATAATAATCCATCAAAAAAAAAATCATTTATATTACAATCTTTAAAATCATATTTATTTTCCTAAAAATAATGTAGAAGAAAAGTTAAAAAACTAAAATTAAATTATGTCCTCTGACTCTACAATAAATCATCTAGTCCATAGAGAAATAAACTTTATGTGGAAATTATTTTTTAAATGAACATCTGTTAGTCGCAAATATGTAACCAGAAACCCTTATGTATCACTTTAGCGTACATTTGCCTAGAGTGCGTAATCATATTTCACTTATAAAAGGGAGCAATATAGGAATGAAATTATACTAAATATTTTTTACCTTTTTCATTCTTAATTATATTATTGTAATGTATGTAGTTCTAATATATTTTAATCCTTCCAGTGGTTAAGTTTGTACAGTTATTAGTAAAAGATACCGTCTTGTAGGACTACCTGCTTGGTAAATGATTATCAGACTTTGTCAAAAAAATATCTAATCCTATACTATCATGTTAATATTACAATCAATAACTCTCATTTGTTTTAATAAAGTAACAATATTTTATAAATCTATCACTATACTGCCAAGTAAACAAAAAATAGGTGTAAACTTGGAATTGCATATTTCAAGTCACAGGGAGTCTTTTTAACATCAGTTTTAATGACTTACAGATTTTTTACAATGAAAATATTGAGATGTGCTGGCGAAAATGTGATAATGTATGCAAAGGTAATAATAACAGGGCTGTAAAAAGTTGGTGGTCTTGAGTCTGGGACTTATTTTTTTTAGAGCTGGTATAGCAAAAAATACATTAAAACTAGACCAATATTCAACAGCTGATATATAAGGTCTAGCAATTTTTTTTAGCAAACATAGACCTTGGTCTAGCAAAAAAAATTAAATTATTATAGCTGTGAGTAATACAAATGGTTCAGTGTACTTAACGTTTGGCAGTGAAAATTATTCTCATTAAAATTTTCATTTTATAATATTTACTTGATGATATCTTTAAACCCCATAAATATCAACTTTTACTAACCCACTGACTCATAACAGGTCTATTATTACTATTGTTATTATTTCTTATTTGTTTATATTATAGCTAATATTTAATTAAAATTATAAAATAATTTGTAATCTAGTTTTGCATTAAATGACTTATTATCAAAGATAGTAAATAGCAAAAGATAGAGCAGCTTCCCAATATAGGGGAACATCTGTTCGAAATGCATGGTGGGTACACGGAGAGCAATGTTACCCTGTCCGCAAAGCGGCGCTATATATTAATAATAAAGGCACCGCTCAGGGTTCGTTTGTTTCCTGTAGTTTCTCCACTTAGTCAAATAGTCAAATTTTACCCTGCTCGTGGGAGGGCTGATGTTCCATCAATTTTCATGCAAATACACGGAAGAGCTCTTTCTTTTGCTATTTAAGTTCTTTGTTATTAGTATATATAGTGGAAACACCTAATGCATTTTGGGTACTTAAACCACATCCTGGTTACTATCTCTGAATTACTAGTTGGAAAATTGTACCGTTCTATTATTGTCCGTATAAATAGGTACCAAAATAGCTTTTTTCCAACAGCCAAGTGTATGTAGTGGCTAGAGTATGTTGAGACCCACGATACAACAATTAAGTTGAATTATTATAATCTCTACTATCACCAGAGAGTTGCTAATTACAATCAACTATATTTTCATGTAGGCCAAGTATTGTATGAACCACAACATTTTCTTGTCCGTATGAATAGGTACCACAACAGCTTCTTTCTAGCAGTCTACAGGTGTTAGAATTGCACTATACAACAATTACTGCTGAATTATTATAATCTCTACTACAATTATCAGGGAGTTGTTGCTTTTACAATCAACTATATTTTCATTCAGTCAAATACTATATGAACCACAACATTTTCTTGTGATGCAACATACTTTACAAATGACAGTAAACAATTAATTATTTTGAATTTATTGCTTTGGCTTTTTGTCTATATGGCTTTTATATTATACAGGTAATCTTTATTATAAACAACAATGTTGTTGTATTGCGCTCCAATCAATTTAAATTCTGTATACACAGCGATTGACCCTGGCATCTGAGAGCAACCAGCTTGACTTCTGCTAGAGCTTATCTACAGCCCAATAATAGTGACAGAGAAACGGGAATAATTCGCACTCAATGATACTACAGCGACTTAAAAGATTTAATTCCACAGAAAGAAATTATATTACCTGGTAATTTAAGGACAATAATTCAATAAATAATGCAGTAATCTTGACACAACAACTGGAACAAATAAATCCCAAAGGAACAAGGTATCAATGGAATTAAGAACAAGATATTCCTGGTTACTCTAATCAATTTGATGATTGTATCATATTCTCTACAACGCCAGGGATATATCGGTCAAGACTACATCATCCAAAATATTAAAATACTATAATTGCTCTCTCATAGGTTAGTATTCAAACAGCAGATAGATGTTAATATGGGTTATACCACATTACATCATAACCAAACAAGGATGAATTTATAATGTTTGAGGGGATAATAAGATAAACACAAAGTTCACCATGAAAGTGTTATTCTTAACCACAAAAATAAACAATCCTCAAATTGTTTATTGTTTATACAGGGAAATAAGTATGAATACAAGTTCAAAGTTCATTATGACCAAATATAACTATTAATCAAATGAATGGAAATCTCAGGATGTTTATATTTTAAACAGGAAATAGAGGATGAATGTGATTCCAGGCATGAGTGTGCCACTATAAGCAATGGTGAATACAGGATATTTCAAATGCATTATAAACTCATTTTCAGTGTGTATTTTCACCACTGCCCCAGGTTTTGCTGCAGTAAGCGTATAATAAAAATTTTAATCACGCATTCTGTTCCAAATGTAATGTGGAAAAAAAGTTGTGTTTTTAACTTGTTTACCTTCCAATATAGAATTTTGTAGTCATATATTTTAATAGACAATTACATGGGGAACTAGAGCAAAGCTTCTATATTTAGTTCTCTCTTGCTTTCTTAAAATAACTCATAGATTAATTAGGTAAAAGGATGCTCAATAGAAACATTTACCAGTGCGAAAGAATACACGTTCATTTTACTTTGGTATAATGTATTAAAGATTATAATTATTAGATTAATTGTAATATCAATGACAAGATTATTATGTAATGATGTCCCTCGTATGTCTACAATATTGATCCATTCACTTACATGTTATATTCTCTTTCAAATTTGGAGGAAAGGAAACTCATAATCAATTGACAATATGTGGAACCATTTCCATTAGGCTCAAAGGTTTATTCATAGAAACAGTTTGGCTCACAACCTTAATTGTTAATAGCATATCCACATGGTATGACACGGATGTTATAGATCTACAGTATACTACATGTACCAGTAGGCATGCAGTGGGGGGGGGGGGGATGCCAGGAATTCTCCGACTTGGGGTCTAAATTTACATCAACTCCACCCTCTTTGGAGCAGATTTTAAGAATAGGCAGTAGGGATACATCTACCGGTAGAAGCTATTTGGCACATTTGGAATGGTTTGGATTCCCAACCGAGGTCAGGGTTTTAATCCTTCGCTATGCATTTCACTTGTCCTTGAGCAAGGAACCTTATCTACATACCTGCAGCCTACCGACCTATATCAAATCAAATCAAATCAACATTTATTTCTTTCACAATATAACAATAAAAAATATATAATTTTTAACAAATATCTAAGGTATTATATATACCCGCAATAGGTACCCGCAAATTAACCAGTGATGAGATGAGCATCCCATCCAGAAGGGAGAGTATCACACTCTCATTCACTTCACGTTACAGAATCTGGGGATAAACTCCAGCTGTATAAGCCCTGGTGGATTGGTAAGGATTTACTTACATGTACCACTTGGCGCTACGATGATGGCATGGATAGGTCAGCTGTATCAATTGGTGCATAGACCAAAACAATTATGACATGTAGGCCTACAGATATACCACTTGGCACTTGGATCTAGAAGGTTATGACACAGAGAGATCAGCCACTTCACGCTTGGGTCCGAAGAGTTATGATAAAGATAGATCTACTACTTTGGTACTTGAATCACAGTGATACAGATACCACTTAGCACTTCCTTTAAGTCTTTACATAAAATTTGTACTTTACACTGTACTGTACTTGTCATTAAATCAACAATGATTCTTTAGAAATATTTGCAATGTAAACATACCTTCAAAGAATAACAGTAAGTTATCTCAATATATCACTTGCTTATCAGTATATTGAATTTTCCCACTACATTTTGAATGTTGTAAGTACTACTTCATTCACAAAATCATATTTTATTACTTCTAATATTTCTCCTATCATTCTGTTGCCATGGAAACATTTATTCACGTTCTAATCTGTCTGTAATTTTTAGTATCCAAGCAACATGACAAACAAGAATAAAAATGATGAGGAGCATACAATCTCACAAGGTTATATGAATAAATCAAATAGCAGTATCTACATATATATAAATGATGTTAATATGTTCTTCAATACAGTACAACCTAGAATAGAGAACACAGATGAGGCAAAGGAGGATAATAAATATATCATGGGGTCAGGTTAATTATAACCATCATATTAATCTTTGCAGGTTGAACATATCTTACAATACAGCTTGCAAAACAATCAAAGGCAAGATACTTAGTGCTGATGTGAATCAATGACTGATGCCTTAATGAAACTATTGTGTATATTTTGGGGAAAACCCTTAAAAATTCAATAAAAACACTGAGCAACTTGCACAAATATGTTGAAATGATACCATAAACATTTAAATTTATACCGAACAAACTATTTCTTCTACATTTAGGCTTATGTAATAACATGGAAGATAAATATATAAACTTGTTCATTCATGTAATTTTGAAGAATGCCACTTCAAATGGAAAACCCTTAAAAATTTAATCAAAATACTTAAAACCTCACACAAATAGGCTGAACTGATACTGTTCAAACAACATTTTAAACATTTTAAACAATACTGTATGTAATAGCATGGAAGTCTCATGTAATACAAACTATACAAACTTGTTTAAATAAAGAATGGCTGAAGTAAATTTTTATGTAGTTACAAAGCATCTATACTTAATTTTAGTTTCAGATTCCTCTACTTTATCCTTTTTGTTATGTTTTTTTTTTACTTATTTTTATATTTATTTATAAATAGCTACTATTATTATTATACTTATGTAAACATTGAATTGAATTTAAATGCAAGATATCTTTTTATTTTATTTACTATATGTTAATATGCTATTGCGTATTTATTTAACAAAGATTACAATAATACAATATGAACCCACAAAAGGGAGGAAGTATTCATAAAGAGCATTCAGAAAAAAAAAACCGCTATCAATGACATAACTAAAATAACTCATAGATTAGTGTAAACATCATTTGAGGTCTACAAACTCGCTTACGTCAACTATCTCTAGTTTATTGAGAAGTTCCACTTGCCTAGAAAAATGCATGTTTTTAGCTTTAACGGTAACTGTTCAATGCCAGTCATCATAACAAGTCTAACTTGAACAGCGTCATACAACGTAGCCCGACGCCGTTTGAAGCGCCAGATCTATGTTAGCTAAATCCAGGTGCGTAAGGTCTGTGTCAGGGACAATTGCTTCGTAGAATATTAAACATGTTCAATAATATTCTCACGCCAACCTAAAGACTGTCCCAAACGAAAAATTGTTTCGGGCAGCCTTATACTGTACGGCACATTCTGAGTTGGTCTTCAGTAAACGACAGACAAGACTAAGAAAATTACTAGTACGTTTTTCCCGGAACCACGGTACATGTTGCGTAAACAAAACAATTGCATCTATATTATAATTATCCTTATTTCAAAGCTTACTGACACAATACAAAACCAAGGTCCTCCGTAAATGTTTGGAATTTGAAACCTACCAGTCTGAAAAACTGTAACATCAGAACAACGTTAGAACTGAACCAATATCCTCTCTTTGCCAGATGAATTAATACTACTTTTGATGCTCTAGGGCTTTGACCAGCATGTGAAAATATAACATACAAAATGAAATAAAACTACACACTGAACAAATTATAAGTAGAAACGGATACGACAGCATCCAACAGTGCTTGATGAAATAGGTTTATTTATAAAGACATCACTGACTATACATTTTTAAAAAAAATCAAGGGCAGCTTATGGCCTATGGTGTGAAAAGATCTATTTCTATGAATCATTGCATAGCAAATTTAAATCTGACAATTTTCCTCTCCAATACCAATGCAGAAATAAGTATTCTATTATCTGCCCACATGTAACTCTTGACTGTAAATGTGACAATACAATAACCTTATTTTTTTCTTATAATTTATTGTATAATGTTCCTTGTCTTCTAGCAACACAGAGTAGGATAGAATATTTAATCATAAATAATCTTTTTACTCCGTCAATAAAATCATTTCTATTTGTCAGTAACAATGGTAATTACTAATAGAAACTACACTTATTAATGGTACTTAGGTTTGCGCCACTTAGGAGCCTTACTTGATCACGCTACTTTCTTAACAATTGCCTACTCATAAAATATAACCAATATTGAACCAGAACTTATCGGATTTCATAATATTGTAGACTAAAAACAAAACAAAAAAAGAAATATGTCTGAGAAAATTTTACTATAATTCTGCAATTAATTGTACTGCCCTTTAATCATTTTTTATGTCCATTTCTTTCTAATCCTGTTTTTCTTAACAGCTACTTTGAATGAGTTATGATAACCATACAAAGTACTGGCAGAATATAATGGCTATTAAGTCATAACCAATCAGGTGATGGATTCAGAGTTCATACAGTGTTTACATTTAAACAAATCATATACAAATTAATATGATTCAAAATAAATTGCATGTGAATTAATTTTAGTTTCATTATATTAACTGTCTATGCTAATAAGAGAATTGCAAAGCTAATATCTATAGAAATAATGAACCATCATTTTAATTTAAGCAAAAAAAATTGTTCATTACTCATCATCAACTTTGAAGGCCATGTATCATAGTACCATCCTTTAAGGCTTTTAAATGATTTCCTATTTTTCTCATTTAAAATATTGCAAAATAATATATTTTTCCAGTAACCAAGAACCTACAGTAATTATTGAACGAGAAGTTGTCATTACCAAAGCTGTGAGATTGGCCAAGAAGTATTGTTCCAGCCTCTTGCGCTGTAGACCCCGGCTCAAACCGGCCAGCGCTAGGTTCTAATTGAAGACTGATTGCTCGGCTCCTTGAATAACCTTTATATTGAAAGTTAGGCAGGACTATTTTTTTTATCTGTTTGAATCTGTTATACATTACAAATTGCATTAGTATGACAAGAGTGGAAACTTATAAAATGGGTTAAGTAGATTTAACAAAAATTTCTAGCCTTATTTGTAAAATCCATTTTCAACTATATTCTTTATCTTAACTGTTAATGTGAAAATTACTGTAGGCCTATAAACAAACCTTTCAATTATTGGCTTGCAAATTTAAGAGATAATCTGTCTTCTATTTACAAAGAAGGTAAAGTTCTTTTTGAAATTATATATTTATGGCAGCCATGACCATTTAATTCAACACACCTAACATAATCATATAGCATTTTCTCTTTACTGTGCTTCAAAAAACAGTGACTGTATAACTATAAATTATCATACAGAGACTAAAAAAATGCTGCTCGACTAAAAAAAGGCAGGCTGCTTAAGGTGGCCTTTTCACAGCTAAACTGATTCTGTAAGATAGAGTAATAAAAATACATTTTAAAATGTATAGAAGAATATTATGTAAATTTAAACAAAAAATTTTTAAAGAGAATTTAATTATAGGAACTTAATTCAGCATAAAGTAATGGCAAAACATTGTGAAGAAGTGTGTTGCATAACTGAAATGATACAGTGAGTTAGTTTTAATATATTAAATATTAAGAATGATTTATACGGTAATAAAATATATTTTAAAATATATCACGAATAATATGTAAATTTAAAAAAAAATTAATTGTAAAGATAATCTAATTATGACTAATTCAGCGTAAATATTGGCAAAACATTGTGAAGAAGCGTGTTGCATAACTAAAATGATACATTAAGTTAGTTTAAATATATATTAAATATTGATAATTATAAGATAACAAAAGTACATTTTAAAATATATAGAGGAACATGTAAATTTAAACCAAAAAATCAATGGTAAAGATAATTTAATTATGACTTAATTCAGCACTGGCAAAACATTGTGAAGCAGTGTGTTAGCTCAACTGAAATGACATAGTGAGTTTAGTTAATATTAAATATTGATAAGGTAATAAAATACATTTTAAAATATATTAGGAAGAACATGTAAATTTTTAAAAAAAAGTTAAAATGTTAAAGAGAATTTAATTATGACTTTAATTCTGCATATAGTACTGGAAAAACATTTTGAAGCAATGTATTAGCACAACTGAAATGATATAGTACAGACAATAGTCCGTGTACGTAAGTCCTATTTGTGTAGCATTCAATGAAAGAGTAACATCAATATTGATAGCTTGTTGTAGTAACCACTATTAGTAACACTCTGGCATATGGATAAGCACAATGTTTGTATTGCATATCATAATTCAAATCGTGCCAATTTTTTCACACGTAAGCATAATAGTACTGAGTATTCCACAGTACAGTACTCACTATTTCTTTCAAAAATCATTAATAGTAGGGAGACCAACTTTGATAGTAATTCGGTTAATTTTTCAGCACCGTTTTTAATTGTAATTTTTGCTTGTTATTTTAGGCTTAATTTATGAGAGAAAATAGATCAAACAAAATGAAATGAAACAGATAGTCCCTTTAATTTATTTATATACATACATTCATACATAAATATGTAAATTTAAAACTAATGGTTACTTATTAATTTACATATACTATACTTACATAAGTAGATATATGTAAATTAACTTGTTCAATATTTTACTAATAATATTTTTATTCGTA